GGGCTCCCACTACGGACTCTCTCAAGCTCCCACATAACATACTGAGTGCAGACTTGCATGGCGACGTGCACAGTCGGCACTTGCAAGACAGCACAGATGCCCCTGCCACTCAAGAATCCCTCACCAGACTAACATCAAGGAGCCAAATGGAGTGGCAGCAGTGCTGGTGTCATCAGAGATGAGCAGATGGTAGCTGCCAACAGCACTGAGAGCTTAACGGCACTTGACCGAGTTTGTTCTCAGTTCCTTAAGTGTGTTACTGCACTGAACCTTCATATTCTTCCTGGCTTGGGTACTGCAGTGTCCACAGCCTGTACCTGGGAGACTGAGGCACAGAGAATTAGGTAACTTACTTAAAGGTGTACCGTTAGTGAAAGTCGGAGAGGAGATTCAACCCAGGCAGGTGATCCGGAGTCTGGTTCTTAGTTGCTTTACCTTTAAGTGATTCCAGGCCTGTCATGACGTGAATAATATTAGGGCATCCTCCAGACACCACCATGTCTACTCACAGTGATGATTATTGTAGAAATAGGCACAAGAGAAACATTCTGAAGCATCACTAAGTATTCTTGGATGCCAATAATTAGGGATGCCATTTTATAAAATTATAAGTGGTGGCATTTTTACCATGTGGTAGAAATATGCTAGGTCATATTCCTGTTTCCAGGTCCTCTTTCTTCTGTCTTTTGTGACTTTTCCATATCCTAGAGCCTAAGATTGAAACACAGTCAGAATAAATGGCAGCCACCTCTCCTTGCGGTCTCTTCTGGCTGGACAGGGAGCCCAAGATTAACTACTCAGCTGTCATAGGCAGTTCATGCAAAATCAACTTAGGCAGCATGGTTTTCTACTTCATTCATAATTCTCAGTAGGCGGCCTCCCTGGTGGCGCAGTGGTTGAGAGTCCGTCTGCCGATGCAGGGGACGTGGGTTCGTGTCCCGGTCCGGGAGGATCCCACATGCCGCGGAGCGGCTGAGCCCCTGAGCCATAGGCCGCTGAGCCTGCGCGTCTGGAGCCTGTGCTCCGCAACGGGAGAGGCCGCAACAGTGAGAGGCCCGCGTACCGCAAAAAAATAAAAAAAAGAAAATAAAGAAAAGTAATTTGCAGTAGGATGAATACGGTAAAATCATTTACTAATAATATTACATTATATTATTTTCTACTATTCATATTGAAGGTCATGTAGAAAATGGGGACCAAAGTAGCTATAAAATTTGCCAAAACTAATTATTTTTTGCCGTAAAGTTAAAATTCACGTTACTTCCCTACACTGAACACAAAATAGAATAAAAATAAAATAAATCTAAATTGAATAATTTATATATTTGTAAACATTGTAAATTTATTGAAACTATAAATATAAGTTTATAAATAAAAATAATAAATAAAAATATAGCTTATTCTAATTGGAGGTCATAAGCTTGTAAAATGATAAATGACAGTATTTTTGTGAGAGTTACGTGAAGTAGTGCATGCAAAGCACTTAGAACGCTGCCTGCCACAGAGTTAGTGTCCACTAGTATTCATGACTGTAATAGCAGTATTATTTTGCTGCCTAACATATAATAGCTACTTTTACTAGCACCCCCCCCCATAGAATTACACTGAATAACAGGTAATACCGAATCACGGTAAATACTGAGTAAATCCTGTTGACTGTTTACCCTCCTACAAGAACCTACAGTATCATCTCGAGTGGAAGGCAAGTGACAGTCCATTGAGGGGTAGGAGGGAAATGTAAGAACTTCTTTTAGGTAAATGATATTAAAGAAACTACAGTTTCTTGATTGGTCATACACGGATGGAGCTTTCATCCAGTTCATGCATCAGGTGGTTGTGTCTTGTCCAGGGTGTGGAGTCCCCTGTGACAGAGTGGGCCTTCTACAAGGAGGAAGAGGTGACAGTGGTGTCCAGCCTGCACTTTTCAGCCCCATCCTGGCTTTTCCTCAACCATATCAGGAGGACAGCTTTGCAGTGTACATTCATTTCCATTGTACTACCGAGGATTTGCTGCTATGAGGCAAAGTACTTGGAATAGTTATTAAGTTCACTGATTATTTACACATATTTCTTTCACAAAAAGATGATTCCAAATTGCTGATCTTTTCTGATGACAAATGACAATGTTTTGTTACTTAGAACTATTCAAAGAAATAAGCATTTAATCTGAACTTTCAAATTGCAAGTAACATTAACACTGAAAAAGAAGATAATTGCTTTTCCAAATAAACTCATGCCACAGAGTACTTTGAAAACGGATGTTTTCATCACCATTATGTGACTTTTTTTGCCGAAAGTTGTGTGTCACATGTGCAGATTATCACATACCTTTACGAAGACTGGGAGCAGACTTTTTAGAAAAACGTTACTGGGGTTTTATAAATATACAGTGAACTGCGTGCGTTTAGAGCATACAGTTTGACGGGTGTATATGCACACAGCCCAGTGCAAGCATCACCACATCAAGACGGCGGATGTACCCATCACCCCCTCAAGCTTCTGTGGCCCCTTTGTGATCCCTCCCATGGGACCCTCCCCATCTTCATCCCCCAGTTTCAAGTAACCACTGACCTACTTTCTATAACTTACTTTGCATTTTCTAGAACTATTTTTTATAATTGGAACCATAAAATCTGTGTTCCTTTTTACCTGGCTTCTTTCACTTAGCACAGATTCATCCATGACATTGTGTGTGTACGTAGTTCATTCTTTTTTATTACTGAGTATTCCATTGAACGGATATGAGCTGTTTATGTAGTCACCTGTTGATGGGCATTTGAGCTATTTCATTTTTGGCTGTTACAAATAAAGCTGCACACGTCTTTGCGTGGGCGTACGCTTTAATTTCCCTCGAGTAAATCCCTAGAACAGTGCGGTCATCCGATGAGGGGATGTTTAAGAGACTGCCAAACCGTTTTCCAAAGTGGTTGTACATTCCCAATTATCATTGTGTGTGTTCCAGTTTCTCCACATTTGCCATCTCCATGTCTTCTTTGGTGAAGTGTCTTCTCAAATTGTTTGCCTATTTTTTGTTTGTGATTGTCTGGTTTGTTTTTTATTGAGCTTTAATAGTTCTTTTATATATTCTAGATACAACTCATCTATCACGTTGCTTATTTGCAAATATTTGCTCCCAGCGTTTGGCTTGTCATTCTCTTAACAGTTTCTTTCTTATTTTGAAGAAGTCTAATTTATGATTTGTTCTTTTTATGATCATGCTTTCAGCATTGTATCAAAGAAATATTTGCCTAACCTAAGACCACAAAGATTTTCTCCTATGGTGTCTTCTAGAAGTTCTGTAGTTTTACATTTTGAGTAAATTTTTGTGTATGGTACAAGGGAAGGATCAACATTTGTTTGTTTACTTGGCCCACCGGTGCCCATTGATCCAGACCCCTTTGTTGTGTAGACTTCTTTCTCCACTAACTCGCCTCTGCACCCTCGTTGACAACCAACCGACCATATACGCTTAGGAGTATGAGGTTCTCCTGATGAACTGACCCCTTTATCATTTTGAAATGACCTTCTTTATCCCTGGTAATAGTCTTTGCTCTGAAATCTACTTTATTTGATACAAGTACAGCCATTCCCACTTTCTCTAGACTGGTGTTAAATCTTAAATATCTTTTTCAGCCTTTTACTTTTACCCTATTTGAGCCTTTATATTTAAAGCAGGACTCCTGTAAACAGCGTGAGTTGGGGTTTTCCTGTTCTATTCAGATAACCTCTTCTTTTTAATGGGGATATTTAGACCAGGCACATTTTATGTTTAGGTATAAGTCCATCAACTTGTTATTTGTTTTGTTTGTTCCGTCGTTTTTTATTTCCTTTTCCCTCTCTGTCTTCAAAAGTTGAATTTTTAAAAAATTTTATTTTATGAAACAGCTTTCAATTTATTAAAATCTTCCCCATGAATAATTTCATTGAGTGTCATGGGTTTTGAACCTGATTGATAATATATAAAGATGCAACTGATCAGTTTGCAAGATTAACTGATTTACATCAGGGAAAATGGAAATTTGTCTGAATTTCAGTCAAAAGTGTTAGTCATTAGGGAGCAAAACTGTAAGTGTGATATTTAAGAACAGTCGATACTACCTTTATTCCATCTGGATCCACATACTCTTTGGCATATTCTTCTCCAATAGTACAACTGTTTCTAAGTGTTAAACTTGACGCCACCATCTCACAAAGTAGTAAAGAAAAAACTTGACGGTTGATAACATACAACTATAGTGCTTCATTTCAAAATATATAATTGTTTAGTATGAACGAAAAGAGTCTTGTTTACTAAGTAAATAAAATAAAATATTTTAAAAATATGTACTTTTTATTTTTATCTTTTTAAATTTCTATTTTAGCTTGTTTCATAATATAAACAATATATCAGCACAGGGCATGTGCATATAATTGCTGAAGGAGTATACGTTTATCATGCATGCATCTTTGAATTTATCTTACCAGTAAAGAACTTTACAATCGAACATTTTTCAAACTCCCTGGACTAGGGGACTTTGCGATCACCAAGAATTAAGCTAAATATTTTTAAAAGGAGACATAGAAAAAAATATCTTAACTCTTGTCTCATTTAATCTCTGTCTCAGTCCGTTTGTGCTGCTGTAACAAAATACATGGACCAGGTGGCTTATAAACAGCAGACATTTATTTCTCTCCATTCTGGAGGCTGGGAGTCCGAGAATAAGGTACCAGGTAATCTCTCTACCCAGAGATAATGTCCGGCAAAAAGACATTTGTTACGGAATTTGAAAAGTCTTTTAAAAAGGAGATATAATTTTTTTAAAAACTATTTGTATCTTCAAAGTCACATGTGTCATGGATATCTTCAGTGTACATGGAAATATATATATAGTAATAGTAGTCAATGGAAAGTAACAGTGAATCCAATTATAGTTCTGATTTTTTTATACCAAATTCTGAACTTTAATGACAAAACTACTTTAAACATTCTTTCTTTTTTCTCTGTTGGATTTGCTTTCCAGATGTATCATAGAATTCGTCATTCGGAGTGCATTTACCGGGTCACCATGGAGAAGCTGTCCTATCATAGCATTTGTACTTCAGAGGAATGGCAAGGCCTCATGCATTTCAACCTTCCCGCCCGTCTTTGCAAAGAAATTGAACTGTGAGAGTTTTGTCTTGTCAGTTTCTTCAGGAACAGATTTTTAATTTGATTGAATTTAAAGTGAAATGGGTTCTAGAATTAGAATCATAAATACCATATTACATGTGTGGTTTCTTGTGTTGCCATTTTCCCCTTGGAAGGAAGGAAAGGCCACATCTCTTTATCTTTAAAACAGAAAAGTCTGAACACCATTTTGAAATGATTTAACCTAAATGTTAGCTTTTCTCTTTAGTCTTTTGCACACTTTACACTATGTAATATTTAATATTCAAAATGACGTTTAATATCAGATAGCTGAAAGTTTTCATTTCCATATAATTTTAAATTTACAAATTAAATCTGAGAAATTAGTAATAAATAGTTCAACTTTCACACTTTGTTTCTAATCCTATGCTAATGTATTTGTTACTGGTGGTAGGACCTGCCCATTAGAAGTACAGCCAACACTATATAACTACATAAAAAACCTTCAGAAGTGATCCAGAGCTGATATTTGTTTATACCTGGAAACAGAGTATTCTTAAATTAATTAAACAAGGAGGCCGTTAGACTGATGTGACTTTAATGCCCTGGCGGCCTAGTAAACGAACCTGTAAATCTAAACCTGTAAATGCCTCAAGGTAACGAGATGGAAATGCTAAGGACAGCCAGTTCTGAACAGCCAACTCGGCTTTAAGCTGTAGCCAATCAAATACTTTCTTTTCTTTGCATCTTCTCTTTAGATGTGTTTCCATGGCGCCTGTCACCAAAGCACTCAACCGCTTTAAGTTGGTGGTGCTCTATTCAAATGGGTTTTTGCTCAAATAAACTCTTAAGATTTTTAATACGCCTCAGTTTATCTTTTAACAGTATATGTATTATATAGTGTGTGTGCGTGTGTGTGTGTGTGTGTGTGTGTATATATATGTATATATATATATATATATATACACGTAGCTAGTTCCTGGCACAGAGCTCCTTTTACTCTTGTAATTCCCTGAGTGATCTGGGTGAGAGAGGCATCTTTTGTTACTCATATTAAACCTCTTTCAGCCACCCTGAGTTTTTGAGTGGCTCTCGGAGGATGACGGCCAGTTGCCAGAGAAACCAGCATATGGTTAGAGGGTTGGAAGTCAGCCTTACCCTTGGACTCCTTTCCAGGGAGAACTGGGGATTAAGCTAATCACCAGTGATCCGTGATTTAGTCAACCGTACCCATATACTGGAACCTCCAAAAAATCCTAACCAAGGGGTTCGGCGAGTTTCCAGGTGGGTAAAGGCATCAGGTGCTATAAAGGGGGTGCCCCCAGAGAGGCATGGGCGCTCCACAGCCCTCCCCCCACCTTACCCTGTGCATCTCTTTTGCTTGGCTCTTCCTGCGTTGTATCCCTCATAGTAAACCGGTGATAGTAAACGAAGTGTCTCCCTGAGTTCTGGAGCTGTCCTAGCGCATCATCTGACCTGAGGAGGGGTTGTGGGAACAGCCGATGGATTAGAAGTGTGGGTGGCCTGGGCTTGTGATTGACGTTTCAAGTGGGGGCAGCCTGTGGGCCTGCGCCCCTAACCTCTGGGGTCTGCGTTAACTCCAGGTAATGACAGAATTGAACTGAATTGCAGGAAGTCAGCTGGCGTCTGCAGAGAGCCGGAGAATTGCTTGGTGTGGAAAACTCACACATTTGGTGTCAGAAGTGCTGTAACAAGAGGAAAATGGTCTCTTTTAATACTTTCCCGTTCTGCTTATTTGGGTTAAGTGTTTGTAACCAAATTAGCACATGAAAGATAGGTAATAACTTCGGATGTTAATATTTATGAAACTTTTCTCTGGATTAAAATAGGAAATAGACTAATTTTCATCTCAGAAAATTTCAGATGAGCTCCTCCCCCGTATCTGTGAGCTGTGTAATGTATGTGTAGGGCTCATAATATAATTATTTTGGACTTTGTCATTGCTCTGATAACAAACACGACGTTCCTTTTTTACAAATTGCTTAATAAAGAATTAAGCAATGGCTTAGATCTTGGACTAAGTTCCTGAGGGAATGTGTGGAATTTCCTCCTGGAAACCTTTGAATACAACAGAGATGTGACTGAGGGAGGCAGGAAGAGGGGGCCGAACTCCTAGTATTTTTTTTAGTCTCTTGATAGGCAAAAAGTTAAATTACTCCCTTTACTTGTTATTATGTTTATCCTAATTAATTACATTTACTCATGACCTGTGCTTTCTGTTTATTTCAGGTTCCACTTTGACATCGGTCCCTTTGAAAACATGTGGCCTGGAATTTTCGTCTACATGGTCCACCAGTCCTGTGGGACAGCCTGGTATGTGTGACGCACACACTTGCTTTAAAATCCTCCTCCCCTACCTAAATGCCTCGCCACTTTTTTGGTTGATAATTACCTTAAATATGCCATATAGAAATTGTTTTTCTAGATATTTAAATTAAAAAAGGCTAAGATTATTGGACAAATGTGCAGCCTTTTTAGATTCCCTCAGAGGCTGCCCCTTGGTTAACAACCAGGTCTAACCAGGTGATCAGAAGGATATAGGTGGAGCTAAAAGAGACAGAGGTTACTTCTCAACATAATTGCATACTGTTTTTAGGTGTGTTTTGGAATGTACATACACAGTTAACATCGACTTTCACCTTTAACTTCGATATATCAGTTAAAACAAGTGTGAAAGAAACAGGTCTCCTAATTCAAAGTCTAGTCCTTTGTTATTAATGAAGTTATGTTGCCCTTTCCTTGCAAATCTCTCTCCTCTCCTTGTGGCCTGTCCTAGAGGCCTTTCATGACTTTGTATCTGGTTTTTTTTGTTTTTGTTTTTTTTTACAGCTTAAACACATACTTAAAATGCAAGGAATAATTTTCTTTTTCTCTTTTTTTACTAATTTAGTCATTAAGTGGCTTATAGAGGCTCTTAGCATCTCTAGAACTAAATTGTCACTTGTTTCCTATTGAATTCTGTGTTTTCTCTTATTTCCATCAGCGACTTTTATAAATTATTGTCTCAAAAGGATGCACACAGGGTAACTAATGCCACTTATTTCTTAGATAGCAATTGAGAGTTCGACCAGTTGAAACTCTTAAAATCACATACCTCACACTTCAGGGACGTTTGGAAATTTTCAGTGGAGAAAGATAAAGGTTATATGTATTTAGAGGTTTTATGGACTCTCGTCTCTTTGGTATTTCGGGGAGCCCTGTTTCATATTGATATGCCTTTGTCTTAAGCTGCCTTAAATCCACTGAGAGAGTTGGTGGGGCTTTAAATACGTGTAAACACATGATACACATAAAAATTTATAACCATATTGTATGATGAAATACGTCATATTCTTTCCTGGACTGCGTCAAGATTTGGATATAGCCATCTGCTACCACCGCTTAATAATTTGAGTGTCCCATGGTAATTTGGATTCCTCTTGAAAGGATAATCACTCACCTAGGAAATTCTTATAGTACGCATGTTCGCAGCTTGTGAATCTGAATACGCTTTCTGGAAAAACTTAGCTAAAAATACCCTTGAACAGGATGATGATATGCTGTTGTCCGTTGAGCACGATGGGATGCAGGAGATGCTTGAAAGCTAAGGAAGAGGTGGCGGGTGTTCATGATGGGTAACGGCAAGCTGATTCTGGGATTTGCTCCCCCGTGGGCCCGTTACCGTGTCAGAGCACGAGCCACCAAAGAGTCTGCCTCTCTCACCTGGCTGGAGAAGCAGTGGGGAGGTTGGTGAGTGAGGCCCCCGTGCTCCTGCATCCCGTCCCCGCGGAAGTGTTCACCCGTGCAAGCGCGTACAGGACAGACGTGCACATCTAGTGGTCTCCTGGAACGTACTGGTTCTTTACCAGTTTCTGTCATGACAATTTCTTTTCCACACAGCTTTGAGCTTGAAAAGTTGTGTCGTTTTATCATGTCTGTGAAGAAAAACTATCGTCGGGTCCCTTACCACAACTGGAAGCACGCGGTCACGGTGGCACACTGCATGTACGCCATACTCCAGAACAACCACGGGCTCTTCACCGAACTCGAGGTGGGTGTGCACACGCTTTCTTTCTCCCGCTTCAAATAACCTGAGTGGGTTGAAGTACTCTATGCCTGGAGTACATTTATGATATAGTTAGGCGACTCTATGTCATTCCAGGACAAATTTTGGTTCCGTAAGTTCACAGAAGCACACTTTTTAAATTGTTGTACCCAAGCATTTTTCCTATTATTTTGTATAAGGAATGTAGATACAGAAATTCCAACTTCATCAAAATATCCCTCAAGGAAACACTCATTTTTGTAGTCTTTCTTCCCTATTAAAGCTGAATTCTTCTGAAAGGATGTAAACAAAGTGAATTGTTCTCTTTGCCCTTATGCCCTGGATAACGGAGACATATCCTACCCATCTGAGAACCCAGAGCATTAAATACAATTAAAACATAAATGCTTATTTGACCTTCTCTAGCATAAGGGAACAGGGGCTCGGCAATGTTCCACTGATTCACCGGACTTTACGGACTTGGAGTTGGTGACACACTCAGAGAAGATTTGGGGACACCTAGTCCATTCCACTCCACTGCTGTCGAGCCCCTTCCTTGAATGCCCAGCCCACATATGGTAATGGGGCGCCTTCGCCCCAGCTGTGCTCCTCCCAGGCGGGACCTTCCTGATGGCCTCGCTGCCCTCTCTCCACAAGGTCCCAGCAGCCCTATGAAAGCCCTAACTCGAATCCACCCTTTTCTCCTCCTGCTTCAGGACACGTGAAGAAAGGGAGCTGCGTCTCTGTGATAAAGAAATTGTGCTTCTCCCAAGGTCACGTCCACCAACACTAGAACCCTGAGGTCCAGTCCTGTCCTTTCCATCCTGTCAGACCAAATTCACAATTTGGGTGGGAAACTTGAAAGATGCATTTTAGAAAAAAAATGCTATTGTAAAGAGTCAAAACGTTCCTTTTTTTATTAATAATCTTTAGATGGGGCTTAGCCTAATAAATTATTTATCACACACACACGATGAAATTTTTTCTTTTTTAATATAAATTTTTCTAAACAATTTTCATTTCATTGAACCCCATATTTTTGAAAATTTCAGTATTTCTCCACTCACTTCCTTTTAAGAAAGCAATTTTATTATCTTTTCTGCCAAAAGTTAGCCTGTAAGCTTGAGAATTATAGAAATTATTCTTTTGGATTATATTAAAATTTATATTCAAAAATGGGAAAATTTTAAGACAAATGAGATAAGTTTTGTTACTACATATTGACTTCCATTTAAGTTTCTAGAATTATATCATTCTGTTTCTCCAGAAACTTCAGGTCTTTTGGCTAAAAATAACCCCCAAATAACATACATAAGTATTTAAAATATATTTTGTAAGGTGCATATGTAATCTCTAGTAGAGCTTTAGAAATGATCATTTGATGTTTTTAAAGGAAAAGTTAACAAAGGTAGTTCTTTACTTTGTAAGTTATTTTCAGATGCTTGATTCCGGCATACACTTGACAAAATTATTGAACATCAATACAAATAAAATAGGTTAAAAGGAATTGTGCCAGATTTTACAACCTTGACATTTCTTACCAGATTCATTATGGCTGACGTTGCAGCATAAAATATGGGAACAGCCCCCAAACAAAACGACCCCCAGAACATGCACAGTTCAGTGTCTTAAGACCTCCGAACACTTAGGGTTGGTCCCCTGCCTACCGCATAGTTTAGGGGTGCGGGTGCCCGGGGCGACCTCCCCACCCATTAGGTGGCAGGAGAACCCAGCGCGGCTCGGCGAGACTAAGGCAGCAGCAGGGCGCAGGCGCAGTGCTCCGGTGGGGCTTTGTGCAGGCGCCGGCCCCGCGGCCGGTGGCGCCGCGCACTCCGGCTTCACGCCCTCCTCGATGCTTCCCGGGCTCCTGTCCAGAGCCGCCCTGCCAGTTGCCCTGGTCTCAGAGGTCCCTACCCTTGCGGTTCTTCCCTCCCCGCACCCCCTCCGTTAACTCGCTCCCTCCGCGCTGGGTCCTCCGCAGGCTCTGCATCCCGTGCAGGTCGCAGGCTGTGACCTCCACCTCACTGCACCCTCTGCCTCTGCCTCTCCGCTCGGCTCCCTCCGGATTTCTAGGCTCTTCTTTGCCGCCGGCCCCTGGTGGAGCCGCTGTGCTGGCCGCCTGCAATTCCTCTCCTCCCCTTTTCTCTGAAACCAGCTCCATCACCCCCCAGAAAATGCTCTGGTCCAGGGGCCGTGCGGGTCCAAGGGTCAGGGCTCAGTTTTCCTCTTTGCGTCGCTGTTCTCACGTGGCTTCCAGGACCCCCCAGCACCCTCGGTTCCCGAGCGCTCCTGCAGCCCGCTCCCCTTTCAACTTTCCCTTCTCAGTGACGACCCCGTCCATCAGCGTCTAAGGCTGATGACCTAGCCTTCAGGCTTGGCTTCCCCTCCCCCGCTCGCCGTCCTGCCCTCCTTTCTTCTCATGCCCAGCCTGCTAGAAAGCTCTGTTGATTCTGCCTGCAGAATCTTCCAGACTTTAGTCACGTCCCCTAAGCCTGCGTTGCTAGCGTCCTGGTCTAAGCTTCTGTTATGTTTTGCCTGAGTCACGACGAAAGCCTCCCCCAGGTCTCTCCCACCCTCCTGGAGTCTGTTCTCAATACAGTGGCCAGCGTGGGGATCTTTAAAGAACGTCAGCTAGATGATGTCACTCACTGCTGTGCTAAAAACCCCGCCATCGGTCCCTGGATCACAAATAATACAAGATCTTTACCCTCCCCTCACGTTCCTCTCTGTCCTCCTCTCCCCTCAGTCCCTGCAGTGGTCAGTCCTGGTCATGTGACTCTGGTCCTGTGACTCACGGGCAGGCTCCCCTGCCAGGATGTGCGCTGGCTGAGAGCCCCGCCCCCGCCCCCGGGAGCTGCCTGCTTCTCCCCTTCACCTGCACCTCTGCCTGTCTGAGGCCCATCCTAACTGCTGTACATCACAGCCACCCGCCTCTTACCTGTCCCCTTCAGCCTGCTCTTCCTTTTATCTTTTTGTATACGATTTGCCATTTTTCACATGCTTTATGATTTACTTGCTGTATTCCTCATTTATGATAGCAGTAACATCGTTAGAATTTAATATTGAACAGATTCTTGAGTGAAGAACCGATACTGTCCTCTCCTTTTGCAGACTTGCTTTATCTGTGATTCTTTGGAACATTTGCTTTAATTTGATACCACTTACACTTTTTACCAGAGTCAATCAGGAAAACTCAAGAATAATTTGATTGTTAAGTTCATAAGCAGAACGACAAAGAAACTGGTTAAAAAAGAAGTTAGATTATCTGTTATTTCAGGCATTCATGAGCATGTTGGCTGCATCAGTGACAGAAGTCAGTGTGATAAGAATACTAACCGTAACTTTCCTCATGTCCCATTTCTTTGTTTTGAACATCTGTGCCCTGTGGTTTCTCCTTAAGCGCAAGGGACTGCTAATTGCGTGTCTGTGCCATGACCTGGACCACAGGGGCTTCAGTAACAGCTACCTGCAGAAATTCGACCACCCCCTCGCAGCACTATACTCCACGTCGACCATGGAACAGCATCACTTCTCCCAGACCGTTTCCATCCTTCAGGTGAGGCGCCCAGGGCCACGTGCCTGCCCGCTGCCCCGTGTGTGCGTCGTCTTGTCAGAGAGACCCACGGTTTATACGTAAAAGAGGGATATTCTTCTGGCTTTCTTTAGAAACAGCAGCTACATTTTATCGTAAAACCTTTTTTAAAAGATTTATATATATTTATATATATTTGATTTTTAAGTACGTTATACCCTAGGGCAAAGTTTGTTTCACATAGTTAATTTAATCTACGTGGATCATCATGTTCTTGAACCAGAATGTGTTGAACAACGAATCTTGAACGTCAGGCAAACAAGATTTTAAGTGCATTGAAGTTCTTTTATTTTTTCTTTTGTGTGTTTTTAAATTGAGTTTTCTTGCTTTTAAGAGATGTCCTTAGTGACTGAGCTGGATGCTGACAGGTCTCCCTTCCCTGTGAGATACGTACGCTCCTTCACTTCAAACCTTTTTCTCAAAGTCATCTTAACTACGTAACTATCGCCTCGTAATGCTCTGACTCCCCTCACAGACAATTTTTAAAATGTGATCTCTGTTTGACTTAAGAATAGTGGACCCTGTTGCTTCCTCTCACTGTCAGCACCCCATAGTAGGAATAGAAATCTTATTAGATCTTCTGATTACGTGTCTACGGGGAGGATTTGGAATTTTCAAGGTTGTGACGCAAAGCCCGGGCAGGACCTCAGCAGGCGACTTGTGATGCAGAAAGGCGTCTGCCACTTGGTGCAGTTTTCCTTTCTTGTGTAGCCCAGGCCTCCCCTGACCACCCAGGGCTCTTTTCCTCTCCGTAGCTTCTCCTAGTGGCGCCTCATGGTCCCAGCTGTCCCAGTGATTGGTAGTACTGCACACTCAGATCTTTTCAAAACCCAGCAACATGTACGTGGTCAGGCCCCTTTTCCTCAGGACTGAGAAGGTAAATGGTGACCTTACTGAAGTGCAGGTGCTCTTCTGATGACCTGCGGGGTAGAGTGAAAGGTCTGTCAGATACAGAGTCATATCCAGCAGGTGGCTGAATGTCCCCCTTGCTCCCGGGCTGGTTCTATCCCTGAAAGCAATAGGTAGTCACCATTCCCGATGTTCCCTTGGCACCAATACTTTATTTTTTAAATGATGTATGTTATGTATGTTTGGCTGGATAGATAGATACATACATACATACTTAGAAATTTAAGCAGGATAAAAGATGTGTGTGGATATATGTATATGTGTATGTGTTTGTATGTGTGTATGATATAGATGTGTGTACCTATATATGTGTGTATATAATAGGTGTATATACACACACATATATATTAGCACACACATGCATTAAAACATGCTTTTTGTAAATAGACATTTATTAAAAGTTTATGACAGTTTATATCTACTTTCCCCTTAGGCTATTTATTTGCCCAGGAAGAAGGGTATATGCCAGAAAGGACATCAGGACGCCTTCATTTAGAAATAATTAGGACTCCTGGTTCCCATGTGCATCCTGTGTCCTAAATGAATTCATACATATGACTATGACAGCATTTCTGGTAATTTAATCTGCAAATGAATTTTAACAGCCTTCCTAAAGTTCCCTCAGAAAACCTATTTTAAATATAAGAGAATTTACAGAGGCCAGGATTGCAAGGTACATTGCTGCTGGATGGAATAAGATATAAACTGTGTGATACAGCAGTGATACAAAGCAGAAGGGGTGGAGAGGGTCTGACCCAGCCAAGGAAGACTTCTGGCAGGAAGACTTACTCCGTTTGCCGCCGTTGACGGTGGAGGTGGCACAGAGCAGTTTGTCCCATTTTCAGCAAACCCTCAGCCACGTGGGGGCTCTGTGTTACACGATGCGGTGTTCCTAGAGTGGTCAGAGCGTCATCACGGGAACTCAGGCAGTGAATTAAGTTCAGGCACGCTGCTGGCATCCACAGAGTTGTTGGAGGGTAGTTAGATTCCGAGTATTAGAGAAGGCATTTCAGTCACTGGTGGGGGGAACATAAGGGCACCTTTGCTCTTGTGTCTTTAGAGAGGTGAGGTTCTCAGCAGATGAATGGGATGGGAAGCCGGCTAGAAGAACCATCATGGCCACAGGTTCAGCCCACCAGTTAAAATCTGAATCTGTATCCTGGCTTGACCAACACCTCCTGTGTGAGCTGTGACAGGGAGAAACATAGGGGGCATAAACTCATGGCCCCATCTTCATGGGCAGGAGAATGGCAGAGGGCCCCTTCATTTTCTGGAAATCTCTAGAATCTGCTGATTGTACATGCTCATGATAACTCCTCTGAGTTTTGCTTCTCAGACCCATCTAACTGCCTCTTGAAATTCGTTTCAATAGCGAACATATTTATTCACTGCCTCGCAGCTGCCAGCACATGTTTCAGGCCCGGGGGGACAGTGATAGCAAAAGCACAAATGCCTGTTGTGTCCACAGCTCCGCCCTCAAGCGGATCTTCTTGCCGCTCCACCTGGCCGGCCTCCTGGGGTCCCAGCCATCCTAACAGGCTGTGGCTCTCACGCCTGTGTGTCAGCCTGGGGTACCGTAAGGTTCTGTTTCCAAACGCTTGAACTGTGTTTGGCATTCAGTGTGGCCAAAATCGTGCTGAGTTATTTTACAGCTCCCGTGATGGCGCCTCACTCACCCCACAGGTCAGTGACCCTGTTAGAGTCCTTCCCCCTCACCCTGCCCCCAGCTCCAGTCACCAAGCCCTGCCAGTTTGAAGTTTTGTCAGGACACCTCCAGACTTGACCAATTAAGGTGATATCCTTGGCTGAGAGTAAAATTTAATTTCAACATCCAGTCACTGAATTATCAGACATATGTCATTACATCACACGGAGCCCTCTGATAGGTCTGTCCGCCCAGTGGTCAGGGTAGTGAAGGGCTTCTCCTTCGGCGTCCTCATCTCCGCAGGCAGCCTTCAGCGCTCTGGCTGCACAGAGGATCGCAGTCCCGAACTATTCATCCTTTGGCAACGTGGCCAAAGAGGAGATAAAAAAATTCACCATGATGGTTAGAGATGGCTCCCCATGAGGCCTCCTCAAAGCTGTGTGTGTGTGGCTCTGTGTGTGTGTCTACAGACCACAGTCTTGTTAACCCGAATGCTGACTTTCAGTGTTGTTGCCACAATTACTTATGGGATAATCTGGGCGACTGGGGAAGCGTGGGGAAGAGGGCCCCTGTGTGACCACAGCAACCTCAGCAAACAGAAAAGGGAAGTATATCTAAAAGCTAACCTCAGTCCTTCACACACTAGCACAGAACTATTCACGGTACAGCACGGCAGGAGGGGTGTATGTTCGTTCACACTTGCCTTCACTTCCATCACAGGGAGAAAGATGCAGTGGGCAGTTCCCACCCTCCCCCCCGCCCCCGCCCCCGCCCCGAGTGGGCAGTGGGAGGAGATTAAGTCAGGAATGAAGTAAGGAGAAGTGTGAAAGCATCTAGAGGAAAGATAGGTTCAGATTCTTAACTTTTGCTGAGCTGCCCCTTGTCTCAACATTGGGTCTCAGGACTGTTTTCCCGGTGACTGGGGCCAGGGGCTGTGTACAGGCCGTGAGGGGCATTCATGGGAGGCAGAGTTCCCATTTGGCGCCTGTAGTGGATGCTGAACTGGCCCCTCTGAGCGTACAGTCTCCTACATGTCCATCAAGGACCTTTCCCGAGTGACATCCCAAATTCCACCTTCATTAGACGTTGTCTGTTTGACTGACTTTTCCCCCATTTTTTTTTTTTTTTTTTCTTTTGCGGTACGCGGGCCTCTCACCGTTGCGGCCTCTCCCGTTGCGGAGCACAGGCTCCGGACGCGCAGGCTCAGCGGCCATGGCTCATGGGCCCAGCCGCTCAGCGGCATGTGGGATCTTCCCGGACCAGGGCACGAACCCGCGTCCCCTGCATCGGCAGGCGGACTCTCAACCACTGTGCCACAAGGGAAGCCCTGCGTCCCGGCCTTTTAAAAAAACTTTTACTTTAGTTCTTACCATTTCTGTATTAAATTTGCCTCAGCCGCACGGAAGTGTCTGTGCTTCCAGCAAACGCTCAGGGTCTCATGCCTCCTCTGTTCCTCCGCTGGTCCTTCAGAATTCATGTCGCCACCAAGAAGAGCGTCCCATGTGCTCCCATGGTCTTCACTTACCTCATTCGTGGGGACCATGCTACTCTATTTTTTGTGTACCACTGAAGAGCGAACGCCTTAAAAAAATGAACTTATGTTGTTTAGGACCTTGGATGTAGTAGGTACTAAGCTACTAATATCCTTACCCAAAGTGAGACGCTACAGACTGAATATGTGCTCAATGAGACATACATTCCTCATTTTGTGGTGGGAAAGATACAGCTATGGCAAGAAAGCAGTGCTCTAACAGTGAATCAGAATGCTGAGAATCCTTAGACCCATCATGTTTGAGAGTTAGGAGGGACCTTAAAGACCATCCACCTTAAAGACCTTAAAGTGTGTCCCCGATAAGTCTCTCAGCATCAGGACCGTTTCAGCGTTGTTTATATTCTCTCGTACATATCTCACAGATCTCAGCTACTTAAGCAGCTGAGCCTTTACAAACAGAGCCCACTCGTAAGCTTTCACAGATGTAAGAATTATATGCTCCTTACCTATTTGGGGACTTTAGAAACATTGCTGGGTATAAAATGCTTGTTATTTTATGCTTGATTGATTGATACAACATGGGATCAACTGCCTTGAATTAATATAAACTTTAAACAGCGTAACCTGGAATATTAGTTATAATAAACTTATCAGTTGGTATATAAAGGCATCTTATTATTTTGTGAGGTTTTATTAGGTTGTTAAATAATGTGAAATTGGAGCTTTCAAAGCATTTTCAGCATTTATCTGCTGTGCTTGGTTGCTATATCTCCCTTATTTTGGTAGGAGCAAAGTGTTGATAAATGTATACTATATTCTCCTGAAAGGAAGGGGCCATTTATTGTTGTTTTATCACTTATTCCCTTTACTCTTGTAAAATGTTGAAGGAAGTAGTCCAGCTGTTCATTATAAAGGTTCACTGCTGAAATTTTCCACCTAGTTTCCCTTTAATATCAAAAAGTAAAGTAAAAAAAGAAATAATGAATCTGAAATAGCCCGCAGAGTATACAGACCCTTTAAAATGGGTCTTACTTTGTCTTAGGTCCCGGACACTTTTGAGACTCTGATGAAACATGTGTTTATGGATGTGCCACTCCCAACGCACTGTATTCAGTTGTAGTGACTTCATTGTTCTGTGGTCCCCAAGAGAATTTATAGGGCCCAGGCTAAGAAGTCCCTATTTTAGAGAGGTTAAAACGTAACATCCAACAGTATGTGAGAATATTTTATGTGCTGTAATTTAATAGTTCGTTGGTGATAGAGAGGTTAAAACGTAAAATCCAACAGTATGTGAGAATATTTTATGTGCTGTAATTTAATAGTTTGTTGGTGATAGAGAGGATACATCATATAAATATATATCACACGTGATTCCTCTTCAGACGACCTGCCAAGAGCAGATGTGTGCATGAGTACCGGCCAAACACATCCAATGTGGAACATGTTCATGAGGGGGGAGCCCAGGGCACAGAGCATTAAGTGCTGAAGCGGAGGCCAGCTGTTTTACTTGAGTTATGATCAAAGCAAAGCAGCTTTCTTAGCACAAGTTAGAGTCAAGATTTCTTTCTTGTAACTGTACAAGTTTAGAGTTGAGGTTGAAAGGGGCTTGGAAGTTAATTACCTTTCCAGTGACTAAATCCCCGCCCCTTGTCCCCCATCAGTTACTAACCAGCCTGTGTTTTGAATGTTTCCACAAACAGCATCCCATGCATAGTTCACCTGGTAACTCTGAACATTAAGGGGGTTCTTCCTTGTGTTGAGCTGAAGTCCTGTGCTTATCGCGTCCCCCGCTTTGGCCCTATTGTATTTATGAAGGCTGCTTCAAGGGAGATTACATTACTAAAAATTACTGAAATAACCAGTTTATATAAGTACTGCACTTTTTCTTTAGTCAAATAAAAATGTTGTTAATGCTTCAGCAAATACTTCGTTTCAATTAGATCTCAAAGATTTATTTAAATTTTATCATTTGAAAGCGCAATCATGTGTTTGAAAGTGCTTCATAACCTTAGAGCATTCTACAAACATGTCCTTAATATTATCATTGTCTGAAGAAGAACCAACTAGAACTAACTCCATGTATCATAGGATAATTTAAATATAATACCTTAAAAGTAAATAATACAGGAAGATTCTGATAACTGAAGATAAATGTGGCACATACAACCTTATTTCAGAGTAATAGGAAGCAGACAATATCTTAGTGAGATGTCTGATTTTGTAAAGAAATATACTTTAATAATTTCAAGTTTGTCATGTAATTTATCAGTAAATATATGTAGCTTAAGACAAGCAGAAACAATTAAAAGTCAGTTTATAGTACAACTGCGTTGACTAATGAACCACTAAGAAATAATTGATGAACCCATACATTGAATCTCTACCTTTTTGTGTGTGAACAAAAATGACCCGTTTTAACCTCAACTACAAATAAAACTTAAAATCCCGAGGAAGAAATTATTGTAAAAAGTTTTTAAAAGATCCATATACAGAAGAATAATTATGAGAAAACAGAATTCAAATGACCAGTGTTTGGTCTTGTTTAGGGTGATGATCTGCTGGGTCCATCTCCCATGAGGACAGAAGACAGGATGGCCTTACAGTTTTTGCACCTCAGGGATTTGTGCTTTATGTAAAAGCATTCTTGCCTGTAGGGAGAGTTTTTAATACGCCTAAATTTTACGTTCAGGTCCTGATACAGAGAAAACAGTTTATTAATCATGAGGCTTGCGGAAGTGGACGAAGGTATAGATGACTTTTTAAGCCCATTAATTTCCAGTATAATGTGAAAATTACCGAAGTTCTTAATTAGTTTAAAAGGAAAAGTCTTTTACTTAAATATTCTACATATTCCAGTCCTTTAATTCCTTACTAGAAATATCCCCAAACTAGGTGTATATTTAAATCACTGGGATTTTACGGTGGGAAATGTTACGTAGTTTAAATAGTTCACTTAAGTGGTAGCTTCATTGTTGTATCGTGAAGAGAAACCAAAACATTAATTTCATTAGTCATTTTAAACTATCCTTTTGTTCCCCCAAAACCCGTCCTGACCAAATGCCATTGACTGACTGTTGTTTCAAGTAACTGAAAATGTCATTAGATTGGAGCTTGTGCTTGTTATTGGTGGTGTTTGTTTGTATTTTCTCCCTAGTTGGAGGGGCACAATATCTTCTCCACCCTGAGCTCCAGTGAATATGAGCAGGTGCTTGAGATCATCCGCAAAGCCATCATTGCCACAGACCTCGCGTTATACTTCGGAAACAGGAAGCAGTTGGAAGAGATGTACCAGACCGGATCGCTAAACCTTAATAATCAATCACATAGGTAAAAATAATTTTTGAAAGTTTAGTAGCCCAGGAAGTGTTATTTGGAATAAATTTATATTTAAAAACAAAAATGTAATTTGGCATAAATTTATACTTGAAAAAAGAAATGTAAAAAGAATTTATGTGGGTTTTTTTGTTTGTTTTATGTGCACTTTATATTTACTTTGGATATTTCGTTATTTGACAAGATTGCTGACAATGTATTGTGAAGGTCACTAAAATATGAATTAGAATTTAAACTGGTCACAAAGGAATGGGTACTTTTAAAGGGAAGTCATTTTCCAAGAGGCCTCTCCTTGAATTTATCACAGTCCAGCGTTTGGTCATTGACCTCACAGACTCAAAAGCAAATGAAAATGGATTCATCAGAATCCAGATCTTATTAACCAAGCCAATGTGATTGATATATAAAACCTGAATTCCATTTTATTGACCTGCAAACATACATTCTAGTTATGAGCATCAGAATATTGGCATTCAGCGTGGTCACAATCCTTCAGGAAGCCAAGTGGCAATCCAAAGTTGGTTTGAACGTGGGGTCAGAACAGAGAGAATGAGGTTCCTTAAATGTTCTAATGCATCAGGCTAAGGTAGTTTGATTCCTTTTTTTCTGAGAAGGTGTGACTTGCCCGCTGGATTCAGAAATGTGTCACGTGTTTTCATCTTGCACCTGTCCACCCACCTGTCCGTTAGAGCTCAGTCCACTGGCTAAAACCCCTCTTGGCCTTGCCGGTGTGTAGGTGGTTACCACCAGCTTTTCTTTGTAGGACTTTCCTTTTGCTGTTTCCATGTCTGACTAGGTCCATCTTAAGTGATGCCGTCTTTATCTTTAGACTTGGGAACCCTTGTTTATTGGTTCATCCTAGTCTTGCTGAAGTTGAATCTATTCTTTTTTGCTCAGACGCTTTGTGTACCTCCTCTGTGATCCATTAAGGTACTGATCATAACATTTCTTTCTAGAGAAATCTGCTTTCAGTTCTAAGAAGCAGTTCACTCAGGTACCCCAAACACAACACATTAGGTCTACAAATGACTAGAGACAGATACATAATAAATAAAGTTGACCTCTTCAAGAATATGATCATCAGAGTTTTTATGGGGAACCTTCTTTGAGGAAAAAAATATACATCTTAATTTTACAGAGGGCAGTCTGCACACATTGCCAGCACCCTCCCAGGGTTGGCAGAAGGGTCAGTGTCATGCAGGACAACACACCCTCTTCTGCCTGCAGCCCAAGGGATGCGTGTGATTTACAGTCTTCATGTCTGTAGAAACGGGAGTTTGTCCGCGGTTCTCTCTCTTATGGCAATGATAAAGACTGGAGAAATATGCGCTGGGTTAAGGTATCCTTTGGCTTGCTGAAAACTATGTGTATACATTGTTTTTAAGTTATAAATAAGAGTCATGTAAGTAGTAACAAGTTTCTTGCATATGATTTTAGCAAAATGATTACAATAATAATATTCTTATAAAATAGAAAATTTTTAAATCTAATTGCAAGTAATATTATACTGGGTGCTTAATGCATATGTACATGTTAGTGGTGTGTACTGTATAGTTATGATGCTTAAATAATTTTAAAGGTGTTGCATATTTGTTTTAAGAATTCAAAGAGTGCGGGTATGTACAAGAAAAACAATAACAGAGTCGTCCGTGGGTGTTCGTTCCCGGAGCCCCTGCAGGTACCAGAATACGGGTATTACGTCCCTTGTATAAAATGGCCCTGGACGAAGAATAGGGTCACTCTTCCGTCCGCACAGAGCGGATGAGAGACCCAGGGGTCCGCTGGGTCCTGTCCTGCAGAACCAATAGAACCATGCATTCTCCTCTGTTTATTCTAAGCTGTTTATATGCACAAACATACATCTTTAAACAAAACCGTGATTACAGGGCTTCCTCGGTATCCACAGAGAATGTGTTCCAGGACACCACCCGCATAACAAAATCAGTGGATGTTCAAGTCCCTAAATCCCTTCGTCGGCCCTCAGCCCTCGTATCCGTAGGTTCCACCTGTACAGATTCAAGCAACATAGTACAGGATCCGAGGTCGGTTGACTCTGCGGATGCAGGACCCGCAGATGAGCAGGGCCGACGGTATACCAGATGCTTGCCTATTTTTAAGAGTTATGTGACATCACGTAGTATGGAGGACTAGCTAAAGGCTCACTGAACCTTCCTCCTATTGATAAGATGTTTCTAGAATTTTGCACCATAAATAATTCTTCAATAAACTCTCATAAAGTCATCTACTGTCCTTTAAAAATATATATCACATTGCATACGGTGCTAGAAATGTAGATACATGTTAAATTGTCTAAAAGGACGGTAGAAATTCACACTTCTCCTCACATAGGGTGAAAACTGTTTCTCTTTAAGTATGCCATTCTCTGACAACTCCCTGCATTAAAGATCTTTTCATGTTTGTTGACTTTGTTCCTACTTCTGTTTGTTCACAACTTTTGTTTAATTTTTGTTGAATTCTTTACTTTTTTTTATAAATCAGTTTGCATTCTATATTTTTGTTAAGGATGTTAACATTTTCTCTGTTATATGTTACAAACATTTTCTTAGGTGCTTTTCAGAAGTTTAATTTAGATTTTATTTTAAATACAAAGAAATTTAATTTCATGAAGCCAAATCTTTCATTTGTTTTTATCAAATCTGGTTTCCTGTCTTGCTTATGAAGACCTCCCCTATCCTCAAAGTAATATAAATTGTACTTAAAATTTTCTTTGCATATTAATGCTTCTGGAGTTATACTTTTTATGAACATAACTTTATTTCTTCCTGATGGGTTGAATCAATACCATTTAATTAACAATCTATTTTCTTCCACTGAATTGAATTGAAGTTTCATATAAACTCAAATACTTCTTTGGACTCCTTAAGCCATGTAATTGTTAATTATCTAATCCTCGACTGTGATCGTACTGTTTTGATTATTGTAACTATGTTGAAATTTATCATACATACCTGGTAAAATAATCTTAATCTCTCATTTACTTTCCGAAAATTTCGTGGAAATTGTTACTTAGTAAATGCATTTTTAATATTTTTATAAGAAAAATTTCAAACTTAAGAAAAGTGGAAATTATACTAAAATGTATACTCATACCCACATTTAAGAATTATTAACATTTTAACGTATTTTTTGCCTTTATTTTTTGACTGTGCCACTTCCTTGTAGTGTATAGACATCATGACCCTTTATTTCCTTCATAGTGAATACTTAAAAAAGAAAAAGAATATTTTATCGTGTTTGTTTTCAATTAAAAATATCCACATTGGGATTTTGATTGCAGTTATATCGCATTTATTTCTTCACTTGTAAATGAGAGTATATTGGCTTCTCATCCAAAAGCACTGGCATGACTTTTTAGTCTTGGATAACATTTTATATAGTTTATTTACACAGATCCTATCACTTTTTTAGTTAAATTGCACTGGTCATGTTATACATGTTATCACTTGTGAATGTGTTTTTTCCAGTTTTTAACGGAAATACAATTTCCAGTATAAAAATAGTTATGAAGTTTTATATATTTCTCAATTTTGCTTCATGTTTTTAGAAACTTTGTTATTAGGTGCTTATACATTTGTGTATTTGTTATGTCTTCTCTATGATTTATCCTCTTGTCACTATGAAATTCTCTTTTTATTCTGGTAATACTTCTTGCCTTAAAGTTTTCTGTGTCTAATAGCCACACCAGCTTTCTTATGCTTACTTATTGGCATGTCATATTCTTTTCCAATCCTTTACTGTTACCCTATCTGCATCCTTATATTTTAAATGTGTCTTGTAATCAGCAGTAGTTGAGACTTTCAGTGGCTGCTTCCTTTAGGACTGTCAGTTCGTTTGCCTTTAATGTAATTATATTTATGTTTGTCTCATTATCTTGTTTGTTTTCTCTTTAACCCTTTGTTCTTTGTCCTTCCTTTCCTGTCTTCATTGGAGTTAATGAAATGTTTCCTTTGTTGTTGTGTTCTGTATCTTCTATTGGCTTTTATTGTTACGCTTGTATGTTTTCAAGTGGTTGCTCTTGAGTTTACATGAATCTGCATTTTTCAGTCCACCTTGAATTAATATTACTCCATTTCTGTACAATGTAACAACCTTAAAAAGACAGAATCCAGTTATGCCCAGTTTTGTCTTTTATGCTATTGTTGTTAAATGTTATACTGCTACGTATGTTGTATATACCACCAAGGTTGCTAATACTTTAAATTAAATAGTTAATAGGTTATTAAAGAATTTTTTGAAAAGAAAAAGATAATCTGTCATATTTTCTCATATATATACCATTTCCAATGCTTTGCATTCATTTGTGTAGATCCAGATTTCCGTCTGGTAATTATTTTACCTCAGTCCAGACAGCAGATTCTTTCAGCCTTAGTTTATCGCCTTTATCTTGGCTTCACTTTTCCAAGATACTTTTGCTGGACTTAGGATTTTAAGTTGACAGGCTTTCTTTCAGCATTTTTAAAATGTTATTCGGTTGTCTTCTGACCTCCATCTTTTTCTTTTTTCCCTGATGAGAAGTCAGCAGTCATGCTTATTGTTATTCTCCTATATGTAGCATGTCTTTTTATTTAAGATGTTCTCTGTATCCTTGGTTTTTCAGCACTTTGTTTACAATGTGCCTCAGTGTCCTCCTTGTATTTGTCCTTCTTGAGTTCCTCTGAGGTTTCTGGGTCTCTGGGCTGCTGGTTACAGGAAAACGTAGTAAAGTTTTAACCATTTTTCTTCAAATAGTTTTTTCTGTCAACCCGTCATTTTTCTTCTGCAACTCTAATTGCACATATGATAGATCACTTAATACTGTCTTACAGGTTATTAGGGCTCTGAACTGTTTTTTCAGTCATTTTTCCTCCCTGGGCCTCCCTGGGTAATTTGGTATGATTCGCCTTTAATTTCAATGATCCTTTCTAATGTTCTCTCCAATCTGTTGTCCATTCCATCCAGTGATTTATTTTATATATTGTGTTTGTCAGTTCTGA